GTATATTCTTTTTCTTCTATGTTACATGTCCCATGGCTCACTATAATTTGCTATCTTCTTAGTAAGCTTTGTCTTTTCATTATATCTCCCAATCCCATCCATTTACTCAAGGTCTTTAGGTAGTTTACTTGTGGCTTTCCTCTGTCCCTCAATATGTCTTGTGAGTGTCAAATTCTTCAAGCCCACTTTCTTCATTATATGTCCTAGAAATTTACACAAACTCATTAGGTAGGCTTACTTGCTGCTTTCCTCTTTGTCTTCAATATGTCCTGTGAATGTCAGTTTCTCCAATCCATCTTTCCTTATGTATTCCCGAAATCTCAAGTGTATGTAGAATGTGGAGATGTATAAGCAATAATTTTTTTCTGATTCTAAGTATAAGCATCCTTTTTTCCTTAAAACTTCCTCATTACTCATATGTTCAGGCCATGGGATTCTCACCATCCTTAGACTATTTGAAAGAGCTTAGCATTTTTTTTCTCCTGAAATAGGTATTAAAAATAACTTAGTTTGTATTATTAATACATTACTGCATTAATAATATTAATATTCTAGATAATTTTTATTTTAGTTAATATTAACATTAGTAATAATACATTATTACTGCATATGTATTATAAATATTTGTTTTTATTTTGCTGTTAAACAAAATTTTAATCAGTTAAGCTAAAAATACTTTTCCAATTCTATCATCCATTTATAGATGGAATTAATCTCTTAATGAAAAGCCTTGGTTTTATTTCATGCCTAATCTGCTAACATTTTCTTTTCTTGTCTGGCGATCACTCTCCTGGTTTCTTTCTTTAGACAACTTTGCATTTAAATTTTTGAAGATCAATGTCAATTGTTATCAACTGTCTTCTGTCACCTTTCTTTTTTTTTTTATTTTTTCTTGCTCCTTAATGTTTTCTTTCACATTAAGCAACCCCCTTGTGTCTTAGTGGCTTTATTGCCTTGCTTGGAGTGAAATGATTTATAAAAAAAAGTTTTTTTAAATTTTATGTAAACAGCTTTGTCAGTTGAAATTTACAAAATCTTTCTTAAAACAGTTTTTCAATAGACTCCAAGTTCAGTTATTGTTCTTTATAAAGGGAACCCAGTAAGAAGAAAAAAAGTGGTAAATTCAGAAAGAAATTTATTTGGCTATCATTATTCAAGCACAAACTGAACAATCATCATAGATATTCAAAATGTATATTCTATCCAAAGTTGTAAATGTGGTAACCAGTAGGCAGTAGCTTTATTTACACTCATGAATATTCAAGAAATTTATTCATGTCAGTTATCACTGTTTTATCTTTCAGGAATAATAAATTTGCTCCCAATTTTTTTGTTGGGTAACCTGTAGTATTGATGGGAGTTTCAATTCTAACCTATTTTTTTGTGTCCTGGGTATGATGATAAACTACATCCGACAGGACGGTCTCCGATCAGGATTTTTTTTTTTTTTTGAGTGATTTTGTTCCCCCCATAACTGTTAACACATACGATGTCTCTATGGACCATTTTAAACTTTTAGCTTAATGGCAAGCTTTTTGATATGTTCCAGAAAGGGATATAGTTGTTCAAAGTAGCAAAGTGGTTTTGGACTACTGTAACCGAGCAGGACCAACTAGCAGGTAACCGTAATGGACTGGTATTCAAAGTGGCAGGCAATAGGCGAAGACTATAGGCGGCATCATTGTCGTCCTGTACCTCCACATCAGTCTGTATTTATGACTGACACCAGCCAATCATATTACTGTGAAGGGGGAACCCAGGTGTGTGTATATTTATTACATCACTTTTAAACTTGGTATCCTTTAGAATGTGCATGTATATTTGAATTCAATGACAGACCTTCAAATATTTCTATTAATAAATATTTCTATTATAAAAAAAAATTCTGGCTATCAAATTATTTCATAAAAGTTCACTAAAAATCTTAGTTTCATACCCGCCTCCAAAATTGTCTAACTTTAAAATTGATGGGATTTGTCCAGACTGAGTGGCAGACAGAGAATCAAGTCTTCTTTTTATAATAACAGAAGAGAGTAGTTTTAGGTAAATTAGTTCCAACAAATTCTAATCAGCCTCAACTAACATGGAACAAATTTGAAAATGTTACGTATGAATGAAGTCTTTGATACAAGAAGCCACAACACAATTTCATAATTGTAAAGTATACCATAAGGTAGACTAAAAACTGTGATAAATTAACTTTTATTCATATTTATCCGAAGCCCCCACCTCAGCCAACAAGGGTTTGTCTGTCTGATTGTACATCTGTTGACACTAATACAACCAACCACTGTTTCCAAGAGAAGTACACTCCAATCATAAATCTTTTGCTACCCAATTAAAAATCCTTATTTCTTTTTTTTTTTTTTTTTTTTTTTGGGGAGGAGTTATCATTAATGACATAGCAAATATATTGGTTTCCATTAGATGAAATTTGAACATTTTTCATCAGCATCTTATTGGGTTTTTTTTTTTTTAGTGTATCTGACAGATCTTCATTTATATAGCATGAGCAGTTACAGCTTTCAACAACTTTATTCTACTACCCACTTACAAGTTACTCACCATTTTCTTGTGCTCTGAGCATTGAGTTCTCCAAACATTTCCCAAAAATTTCAATTGTCTAATTTTAATAATTTTAAGAAGTGCCATTTGTTTCCATTTTCTTTAAAACATCCTCATTGTTCTATGGTATTCTCAGCATCCTTCTGTAGAAGGACATTATGTCTCCTTTTCATTTGAGTAAACTGTTCACCATTCATTGCTATATTCACTTAGTCTGTTGAGAGTATTCTTTTATTATGCATACAAATTTTTTTTTTTTTTTTTAAATGTCATTACAGTTGGGATATTTTTCCAAATCATGAAAACTTTTAGATGTCTACTCTATACCTTGTAACATTGCATATTAAATAACATTTCTTACAGTCTTAGAGTAACAAAGTTTTAGGTTGTTTTCAAAAAATTAACTGAAAACTTAAAATAGCATTAGATTAAGAGAAATATAAAGCATCATAGCTACATATATTTAACTTAAGAGTTAAAAGGCAATGCTGCAAAAAGATAACTACACATGAAACCTTAAGTTATACCAGCTATAAATATTTAATGACACAATTTGACTTTCACTTTTGAATTTTTTTCTCTCTCTCCAGCCGAATATTTTCGAAAGAAAGACATGTGAACATCAAGATGCATCCCATCCAGAATGAGATCCAGTTTTCCTTTCACATTTGATGAAGAAAAGCTTAGAAATTTACCAACTTTCTGAGCTGCTTGAAGAGAAATATTTACAAGTTTGAAAGTGCTAGCTTGTTGATATTGTGTGCAAAAAAAAAAAAAATCCTCCCTTTCCAAATGGTGCAACTTTGTTCCCCTCCTACTTTGAATAGGAAAAAGTTCATTTTCTTTTAATGAGGTTTCTTCATTTCTAAGAGGAATTTTCTATATACTTTTTATTAGTTCAAACTACTCTAGAAAGAGATACGAGAGATTGTAAAGCATTTTGACATGTTTAAACCAGATTCCAAGAAATAATTTTATGAGTAATTTACGTTGTGCAAGAAATTGAAACCTTTTAAAACTATTGGAATATCCCCAATAAAATTTGTGGTCAGCCCTTGACCTTGTCTTGAGTTAATATAGCAACCTAGTTTAGCAAAGTGTCTAGAGATTTAGAGATTTAACTCTGGCTGGGACTATGTGTAAATATGAAAAATGTATAATCATTCTAATGAATGATATTTCTATAAACAGTTATGAATCAGAACTGAATATCAGGAACTAATCAAGTTGAAGGCCATTTAAGATAAGAAATAAATACAATGATTGTTACGAGAGAACAATTTAACTGGCTGTCACCTCACTAAAAAGTAATGCCATTTAGGAACAGGAAACATCCACATTCAGACTCAAGAAGATTCCTGGTAAATGCACAGGAACCTGGAGAATTTGTCACTTAGGATATAGTGAAGCAGTAAATCACTTAAACTTGTAAATGGATACCACAAATGTGTACGCGTCTTAATACAAATCTAGTCGTTGGTTCTTCATTTTCTGCTTCAAAAAGTAAAACAAGTGAAATGTAGAAGGTTTCAAGTGTTCCTTCATAGATACATGATGGCAGAAAAGATGCTAAGTTAAAATTAATAGAATTGAGATTACTATTAATTAAAGAGGATGTGGCATGTTTAATTGTTTGAAAGCTCAGCATCTCTTCATGGCAGCTTTGGTAAGGGAATTAGAAAAAGGAGGACAACAGTGCAAAAAGAAAAAGATGAACAAAGAAAGTTTTTCCACAAAATTTTAGTAAATTTTATTTATATAGAAACATTCAGCCAAAACATGGAGAAAAAAAAAAAAAAAAAAAAAAAAAAAAGAAAATTGCTGAATTTTATGAATTGTCCACGTCTTCCTAACCAAATCTTCGTGCCACTAAAATTGTTGTAGTACATTTTGACATTGTTTTAAATCATATTGGACATGTCGTATATACATTAGAGAAAAATTTTTTTTTTTTTTTTTCAAACACCCACTCCATGTATAAGGTGTTTTTACAAGTTAAAGTGAATAAATTTTGTTTTGCCTATTAAATGGTATAATCTTGGCACTCATCTCTTCTGCAACTGTCATCATTCAGTTTTTTTTTTAATGCTTTAAATTCTGTTTAAGCTTTCCAGGAACTGAAAAGTAGTGATAGGCTAAGTGTGTGGAGACCCAGTACATGTAATTTAGTCCATTTCATTACTCATACAAAAAGATATTTGCTTATATGGGTTAATATTTTCTAAAGTTTTCATTCTCCCTTACTCACACACAGCCAAAATAAGATACGTTCTACACTCAGATACATTTTATACATAAAATCCTGTACATCTATTTTTTTTTTTACTCTTTAAACCAGCAGTCTTAAAAAAAAAAAAAAAAAAAAAAAAAACAAAAGTTCATTTTTATCATCTGTTATAAATCAAGAATAAAAATCTCAAAATATTTGGTACTTCTCATTCAGCTGTTACAGCAGAACCATTCTCCGATATTTGTGTTCCTTCCTGTTCTGGCATTTCATCTCTCACACTTTTCATTTCCCCAGTTTCTACTACAGCTGGTATTTCAACTAGCTCACCCTCGTACTTATCTTCAGTCACATTACTGCTTACATCTCCATTTGCTATCAATTCTTCTGCTGTTGGGGCCGATGAAGCAGATGCTGCATCATCAGTATCGTCCCCATTTGCTTCAGCTTCATGTTCAGAGGCAGCATCTCCATTCGGAGTGCTGTCTACAACAACGCTATCAATTTGGTCAGAGAGCTGCTGCATATCATCTTGTTCCTGTGTTGTCTCATCTTCCTCTTCATCAAAAGTGAGGTCAATGTAATCGGGAATGTGGAAGGTTGTCGTCTCTTTCATCAGAGTTGCTTCTACACCTTGTTTCTGAGCCTTCTTCTGGTAGTGGTTGATAATGACTGGATCCGAGGGACACGTGTCTCTGAAGGCATCAGTTGCATAAGCACTCAGCAGATAGCGGTACAAATATTTGTTTTCAGCTGGGATTTCATAGTCAACATAGATCTGTAAATAGAAAACATTTAATGTTAATCTTATTCAAAATTTTTTTTTTTTTTTTTTAAAGACATTAAATTTGAAAGACAACAGCCTTTCAGGCACAGATTCAGGACAAATGCAAATATGAACACTTTCCTTTTTATTTATAGAAAGTTGAAAGGAAGTAAAAGAAAAGGATTCAAGTTGTATAACAAAACAAAAAATGAAACAAAACCAAATTATAAAGTGGAGATGCTAAAATTCAACAAGTACAAAAATTCAAATATCTGGAAGGTGTTTTTTCACAGGGCAGAAAGTACAGCACTGATATCCAAAAGGTTCATTGGAATAGCAAAAAGATACCATCCAAAAGCTAAGCAAAGTATTAACAGGGAAAATTTTTTTCCTGTATGATCTCACAGAATCAAACTTGAAGCAACAGAAATGTGGTCCTACAGAAGGATGCTGGGAATACCATGGATTAAACATGTAAGCAATGACAAAGTTTTAAAGAAAAACAAGAACAAAAGGACACATACTTAACCCAAGGAAAGGAGGTTTGGGAAATTTGATACTGTTTCAATCTGTCTTGCAAGTGACAAAAGAAAAGCATGCATAACCAACCTAGCAAGCTTAAGCAATGGTGGATGGTTGAGCATGATTTAGGAGATCAGACAAAATTCATTAAAAGCTACAAAAGACAGGCAATTGTGGAGTCATGAGATAATAGAAGCAGTTAGGTTTTCATACATGTCAAATGTATTTGTATATGGTCTGTCTTTGTTTGTTTGTCATTATCAACTTTGTAATGGCAACCTGAGCTGACAGCTTTTTACAACAATAACCTAAGATGGTTTAATAGATCTGGGGAGGTGAAAAAGGAATCATTTTCAATTTTTTTTTTTTTTTTTTTTCAATGGACACTTAAAAGATTCCATTAGAAGTCATTAAGCAACAATTTGTTTTGTTTTAATGAACATTAAAAACTGTTGCACAAAGTCAGGAAAGATCCACTGTAATTCAATGTATAATACGCATTTTTCTCTCTCTAAAAATAAGAAAGTTCAGGGTGCATATTATGCACACACAAAAAACAAAACCACCACCATCACTTTAGAAAATTGCCATTTCACAGGTTGATTTCAATTCTAAGCTGACTACTCACCAAAAACATACAATCCAATTTTACACTCAAATTGGTGATTGTGACTCCATAAGGATGTCAAATACAATCATATGTACCTAGCAATACTTACAAATAAAAGTAAGAGTTATAAAGCTAAATTAGAATATTCTATGTTTAAAAGACTAGAAAACACTGGCCATAATGAAATTGGAGAGGTACAATATATGGGGTTTGATTACCAAACAAGCGGTGCATATTATGAATGAAAGTGTATTATACATGGGGAATTATAGTATTTTTCTATTAAGACTTATACCCACAATTATCACATTGATTATGAAAAATAAAAACCCATTTTCTAGTTGTATTCATACTCGTTTACGTAGGCCATTAAGAATTTATAGTATAGTTATTTACAAGATTCTACTGGACATCAATCTAATTGGTGAAAAACTTATTTCAGGTCATTAAAGACTCACTAATGATAGTAAGGATTAAGTTTGATGAGGAAAGGAGTCAAATCATTTTAAGTTAATTTTTTAGAACTGCATGCTATCAAGGTTTAACAGAAAGCTGAAACCAACTAATTTCTCCTTCAAGAATAGAAACATTTATTCTAATACTTACCTTTCCAGCAATTCTAACATGCTGTAGTCTGGGCAACAGTACACAGTCTGCATAAGTCAGCACATCTCTATCCAGGAATTTGGTACCATTCTCTTTCAAATGAGTATCTATGCGTTTCATCACATTATTCAACTTGTCACGCAGCTTTTCTGTGTTGCTTTTCAGGAAGAGGTTGAAAACCTGCAATGAAACTGAAATTGTCAAACATTCTATTTTTAGACAAGTAAATTCAGTTTGGCTCACTTCTGAACAAGTTCAAGTTCATTTTAACTCTTGCCTGTTAGAATGTAAGGCAAATGTGGTCTAACTGAAATCTACATTATATTGAATATGAATAAAAATTATCTAAATATCTGAGTGTCAATGTAAATTTCTTGTGGAAACCAATCTTATTACAAGTATTCATTTGAAAAATCACCTCTTATCCAAGAATGAGTGTAGCAAAGAGAATCCAATAAAACAGTCAAGAAAAAGCAATATTGAGAAATGTCACATCGATAAGTGTTCTGAGAGTTACACGAAGATTTGGAGAATTCAGAAAATAATCTTGCTAAAGTAAAGACAATTGAAAAACCAATCACTCTCACTGTAAGGGTTTCTTATTAACCAAACTAGGGACAGTAAGAAGCTCAATGAAAGAAGACCGATAGACATGTGTTTGATGGTGTTAGTAGATAACATGAAATGCATCCTTCAAGAGATTCATTTTAATGAAGAAACCAGCTTTAAACAAAAGCATTTAGAAAGGCAAAGTTAAGTTTGTCAAAGTAAAATGAAGATACTAAAAATAAGATCACATTTGGTGATGAAACTGCATTCTAATAAATGGATTTTTCAGAAGGCCAACAAGAAAAGCAAAATAACCCATATTACAAAGATTTGGGGTAAAGAGGGAGACTTTAGGGCTCTACAATGAGGAATAGTTAAAGAAAAAAAAAGGTTAAAATTGACAATAACTTTAATAGGGGAAAATATCCTCTAACTGAAAGAACATTTGAGACCAGATTTTGCTAAGAAATTTTTTTTAGCACGATGGAGTTCTTTATCACAAATTGCATAGGCAACACAGAGACTGATGTGTCACTGTATTGAAATATTAGCTAGATTCGAGATATCATTGATCAAATGTTGCCAGAACTAATGAGTGGAATCCACCAGGCTTCGAGTCGTGGAAGCTCAATGACAGGGAATGGCATCTTACTACGTATGAAAAGGGTGAGGAATGAAAATGGTACATATGAAAATGGTGTATCCCATCCCAGGTGCACTGAAGCACTTATTCATGCTACAAGATGCCACACCATATTAACAATGTGCAGAAACTTCTGGAATGCAACATTATGATTTTCATTAGACATTTTTCTCCAAAGAGTATATATGGAGGTGGCCAAAATCTGTTGCAGTTTTTTTTTTTTTTTTTAAATTGTCCACCCTTGCTTAAACAATAATGAAATGGTTCCAATAGGGCCAAAGTTTCATCTGTAGACAGCACAATGAAAGACATCCATTTAATAACATGGCAATTAAAAGTTTACACTTTAAAATGACCTCTGACTTTTGCACAGTACTGTATAATGTCCAACTTCATAAAGAAATTATTCAATAATAAAATTAGCATTCCTGTGAGAAGGGACATTTAAAATTTCCATACAGCTTCAAAAATTTGGGTTTAGTGATGTCTTCAGTAGAAATTGATAGAAGTTTTTAACTTTCCTTTGAACATCTTCACAAAGAGGAGGCTTGGTTAACATGACTCCTTAAAAAGATTGCTGTTAAAAAGTTCCACTTGAAGAATATGGATCAAGACAATCAACTGAACCTAAGAATTAAGACTTATTCTTTCCAGGATGACAAACTGGACTACTTTATACAAGATTAAATTTTGATGTGTTCTACTTTTAATTTTTGAAAGTAGAGACCAGCTGGGCTAACTAGCTACTCAATTCAGTAGTGACAAGTCTTCATTTGTAACCAATTCGACACTTAGTACCCCCGCGAGTAATAAATATTTTTAGTTATGGCAAAAATCAGCTTTCAAGCTAATCAGAATGTTTTTATGCTGCAGTTTGTGGAATAGTATTATAAAATAAAAAATTGGGAAGATTTCTGCTCTCCCTGTTTTTAACTGTCCACATGAGCATCATTATTTTAACATCTTAAATTACATTTGTGGACAAAGCCACCCACTTCTAAAAGAATAAAGATTACATTATGGTGGTTTGCAGAAACAGTAATGTTTTTAATGTAGCTAACCCAGCTTGAAAAGCTGGTCCGAAGAAACTAGCATGGACCAATTATAATTAGAGAATAATCAGGACTTATATAATGAAAGGGACTGATGTGCCTGCAGGAAGAGGAGCCAGAGAGAACAATATTTTTCTATTCCTTTGATAGAGGTGGGGGGGCGGCAGCAGAATGAATTAGTCAAAATTAGACATTGTCCACTTTAGTATTTGGGTGATGACAAAATACATGTATGTTTCTGTATGTCCCCCCACCCACCTTGGGTGGATGGGAGTGGAATGACAAGAGTTATTGATAAAAATTCTAACCAAATAAATGATCAGAATGCAAGGGCAGGGACTTTGCAGGCAGAAAAAAAAAATTTCTGGCCCAACCAAAAAGTTGGACGATGACAGAATAAATACAAGAATTAGGAAAACTTGTTTTGCTGATAAACTGGGAGAGAAAACTTTACAAGATTATGACTTGTGGAAATAATTTAACACACAGGACATTCAAACTATTTCTTTTTTAATTAAAAAAAATTTAAAACTATCAAGAAAGAAAATATTTGCATGTATTCCAAGTGATGTTATTCATTGAAAATCTATTTTTCTTTGTAGCAATACAAAGATGGGAATATAAAGAAATTCAAGTTGGCTATTAATATTTTTAAGATCCAGATTACTCTAAAATAGAATAGAGTCGTTTACACCTTATACTATTAAGAATTCCATTAGGGCTACAAAATAGCTGCAACTGGGCACCTTCAATGGATCTGTACAGGAAGTAGAAAGACTTTGTACAAAGTTATTAATTTTCAAACAATGTCATAACTTTTTTGAAGATCTCTTAAATCACAACTTACAAAATAAAATCAGTTGTCAGGTATTCATATGTCAATTTAAGACTATTCTAAAATAAAATTAGAAAATATTTTTCACCTTATACTATTTAAGAACTTTAAGAGTAAAACTCCATTAGGGCTACAAAGATTTTAGATAACACTTGCCATTTAAAATGTACAAGAACACTTTCCCCACCCACATTTTCAATTAACATCAGATCAAAGTCATTTAAAAAATAAAAATCTGAAATTTGATACAATATTTACTGAAACTATTAAAGGATTTTTTTATTTTTGTAAAACCTGAAACCTATAAAACGTAGGAATTTTTTTTTCCTTCTTCCTTCAAGCTGTTTTACAGAAGGATTGGTTTTTGTATCTTTTCTCTTATTGCTTTTGAACAAGTCAACGAGCTGCTGCAGAGTTGAGATAATTTAAAATGATTTCTAAGTCACTCCTTTCTTGTGGTTTTTATTCTGCTCTGCCTGGTTAAGACATAACTGGCTTTACTTATTAATCACACATTTAGTCACTATTGCTGTTTTGGAGGAGGATTTCTGAGTAATATTATAAATATATTTATAATTAAAGTGAAAGCAAGCATAAAACTATGCTTAAGTTTTTTTTTTTTTTTGTACAATCTCCCTATAGTTTAAGGGTTAAAATTCCAGTAAAAATGAACTGAATGACAAATCAGTAAAGTTTAGTCTACTCATTATCACCCCATATATAGTAAGCATTATTAAACTTTTGAAATAATTGAAAGAGGTTGAAATGCCCATTCCAAGACAGAAGTAACCTTAAAACTTCATTCTTGCTTTTAAACTTTATAAAGAGTGTACAGTACCGTTTCTTAATCGTTCATTCATTGATATTTTTTAATTTAAATTAGAAAAAAAAAACATTTAACCCGATAGGAAGAGAATTTTGTCAAATGCTAAAATCCAAAAGAAAATGGAGGGTGAAGAAAGTCCCTTTTGGATATGGAGGGATTCTAGTTCTCCACAGCTTCCTGCTTTTGTTGGTCATCAGTTTTCCTGTATTTATTTGCTCAAATGAGTCGGCTTTCCTGTGTGTTAGAAGAGTTAAATTCACAAGCTTTCTTTCCTTAGGGTCCACAATTTCCTTGAAATTAACTTTCTGTAGACAAAGTACCCCCACCCCCAGATTTTTTTATTTATCTTGATAAGCTTCCCATTTGATCTTGTACATCATATTCCGAGCATGCAATAACATATAAGTGGCCTATAGATTTGTTAGTTCTTTGTCAAGATGACTAATGAAATATATAAAACCTTACTCACCCTGTAGAGATCAATGAAACAGTCCAAAGCCACAGTTTGACCGGGAGAGTTCATTGACAACAAAGGGCATTTGAAAGAGTCAAAGAATGCCTCCAATTCACTGCTCTCATCAGCAACAAAGTCTTCCACAGAGCCTAAAGTCGTTTCACCAGTAATGCCAACTACAACAGGGAAAAGTCCGCTTGTGCTTTTGTCTTTCAGAATTTTTGGTGGACAATTCTCAGGAACTGTGATCACTTTGAAACTGGCAAGCTTATTCTCTGCCAAAATATAGGCTACCATGTACCATTGGTGGCACAAAGGACAAGCCCCTTTGCTCATCTTGTCGATATTGGAGGCCTGAAAATAAAAAACATGAATTTATTTTTAATGCAAAAGTAAAAAGAAAAACATGTCCAACATTAAATAGCCTTACAATATTAATAGTAATTGCACTTAGAAAAAAGTTAAGATTATCAAAAATAAATTTAGAATGAATCTCTAAGCAAATGCAGACACTAATATGCACATTTGTTATTTACAGTATTTTAAATTTAAACAATTAAAAATAATAAAGTAATAAAAAGGTCAAGAATTTTAATTGTGAGAGATTAAACCTATCTAATATTTAAAGCTTTAAATAGAACTTTTTTTCTTTTTAAAAAGTAATTTCATCTCATGCCAGCCACTAAAATAAGGGGTTACTGAGTGAAAGGAAAAAAAAAAAAAAAAAAAAAAAAAGCATAGTACTTATGGTTACAACTAGTAAATTCAACTAGTATATCGACGAGACCTTGTTGTCAATTTAGTACTGCACTTAAATTCATAAAGTCTAAGGACCATAGCAAAAAGTTTATCTGAACAATTACCATGAAGGGCATTTATACACAAGGCAGAGGGAAACTACATTACAGCAGTGGGTTTGAGTGAAGCAGAAAATGCCATGTCAAGACCAATAATATTAAGGATTCTTTGGATTTTTATCAAAAATCCAAATATATAGCAGGAGTGCCAAACCAGATGTAGTAGCAATATTCAATGCATGAATGGCAAACTTATAAATATGCAAGAGATTCTGGAGAGAAAAAAAATGGTCTACCACAACACAGTGAACCAACTTAGCAGCAGACCAAGCAACTGATTTAATATAATCTTTCCACTTCATGTCAGATAGGAATGTCAACAAGTTCATCATGAAAGCTAGCATCAGCCATATTGAATGGGAAGCAGAAAGGGGTAGGTGTCAAAGTACCCATATATATCCTGTTTCTGGTTTTGTTGCCAATTGATCTCCAAAAATGCCTCATCCACTCCTTTACTTTCTATTTTGTTAAAGTGGATGCTGCTTAAAAGAGGAACTATTCTGCAGGTCTATCAAACACTTTAGATAGAAAGGGAAGCCGTGATTTTTATCCGAGGGTAACCATAGTATCAGATATACAGACAGGTGTTTTGTTTCAGTTCTGTAGCTGGCTAATTGTTTTTGTCACTATTTCAATGAGATTCATCTAATTTTAAATAATTCAATTCTTTATATTTTGACCAATATAGTTAGGATTTATTTTGTATTTATTTATTTTTTTCTTACTACACTAAGTGTGCTGGAGAATTACTAGAGCGGCAAACTGTACGAGCATCAGTACGGGCCTGATGAGGTGCATGTGTCAGAGTCAGATTGAGGCGAGCAGCATGCAAATCCTCTGCCTTGTCAAGAAGGTGTGTGATATATATATATATATATATAAAATGAAATGGACAAAGTCCAACAATTATTTCAACACACTTATGTTTATACATTTTTTTTTTTTATAGATACAAATATTTAAGTAAATGCTCTGTTTATAATAAACAGTATTAACATTTACTGTCCTGAATGCCCGAGAAAATTGTCATAGAAAATATGCATCCTCCAACAGGAATCAAACCTGTATCCTATATGGAACCGTCATGTAGCCTGACATGCTTTTACTGATTTCGCCACAAAGGAACGTTTGGTTAGCAAGGTTGATTTTACTGTTTTTAAAAACTACAATCTTCCATGATTTTCTCACATACATTCATATCTACTCGATGCATATCCAAATGTAAGCAAATGATGTCACACATTATGAAATGGACAAAGTCGACAATTATTTTAAGACATTTTTATACAACATTATATATATTATAAACAGAGCATTTACTTATATGTGTAAATAAAAAAAAAAAGGTGAGTGTTTGTTGAGATCGCAGAAGGCTTTTGCACTCCATGCAGGTCACAGTGTGTACTGAACCAGAATCTATTGCAATTGTGTTTCCAGTGTTTGTGCTACAGAATCCCAGTTTTCCTGCTACACCAAGTGCTTTTTTTTTTTTTTTTTTGTATTTTGGTGTAAATGGGAAAGCAGAATTGGTAGAAATTAGTGAATACAAATGTAAAATATTTAGTAAATTTTTAAGTTTCACTTTTGTGCTGCTAAACCAAAATAACAGAGTTGATTAAGATTGACAATCATAAGATTCCAGACTAGTCTATATTTACATCTGTACAAGTGCCTTTTGAAAAAGGCATGAATCCATCTCTTCCAGCTAGGGAAGAAATAAAATTGGTTTAGCTCTCTAGCCTTAGGTGGCCACCAAGTCTAAAGTAAAACATTACTGAATTCAAAACTGGAAGTTTACAGGAAACCACACCACTAGTTTTCTTAAAATGTTATAGCAAAAGAAAGATGTATTTAGAGCTACGCATATTCAAAAAGGGACACAGACAAGTGTAACTATTTTAATTTTATTGTCTGCTTCAAATAGAAAACATCAGAGTTCAATGTCTCTTTGTATGATCACTTAAGAGACATCACTTGAGATGTTAAAACTTTATAGTAGAATAGGAAATGCTATTTTTTTTTTTTTTTTTTTTTGGGGTAGGGAGTCACAATATTGTTTATTCTACAAATTTACTGCAATTTCAGTAATGTTTATCCTACTAATGTATACTTGAAATTTTTACAGTAAAGTAAAAATGCTCAACTCTTAAAAAGCTCTTCCTAAAGTCTGACAAAACATCCAAATTGATTTTTTTGGACCCTTGTCAGTTAAATGAAGGATTTTCTTTAACACTATTCAAGTGAGATTATATAAGTCCCACAATTCATTTAAGCGAACAAAAAAAGGTCAGTGTTAAATAACCTGAAAGAATTTAGGATTGGTTTCCTCCTTCACTTAATTCATATTATAAATAAAATAATGATTGTGACCATTTCAAGCAATGACATTGCTCAATCCATCAAACATAGGTAGCATGGATATGGCTTTAATCCTGCCAGCTAATTACATTCTCTAGTATACATGACAACATGGGAGTTTCTTCTTTTTGCAGTAGTTGTTACATAAATGCCACCACATGTATAATGAAGAACCTGTATATGGCACCTGCCCTACTTTGATGTAACCACATTTATTACACATTGTAGTTTAAATCAATAGCCTGTTTTGTCTTCATTCTATGGTCGAGACTTTCTCAGAAATTGAGCAACTGGCAAAAATCCTTAGTGGGTTAAAGAGGAGTGACAGTTTTTGGTCTAGTTGTCTGGAAAAAACTAAGAGAAAAGTATTGGCTTAGAACTTCACTGGGTGATCTTATTAAAGTCAAAAGTGACACTTCCATTAAAAGGTAAAGTCTCTAGCTAAAGCCTAGACTGAAAAGTGTGTGCACATACACATTTCATTGGACATGGTGAATTTTATTTTTCTCTCCACCCACACATATCAAATTCTGTAGCAACATTCTCAGGGAATGTCTCAAATTTAACTGTGGTAGCATAAAGGTCGGCATTTTCAATATTTTACAAGTTGAATTGAGCACTATTTAGCCATCCCATTTGGCAAATATCATTTGCCATATATATATATATATATATATATATATATATATATATATATATTTATTATATATAATTATTTATATATTATATACGCAGTACTTATTAGAAAGTGCTCAATATCAGAGATAGAGCTAACATTTGGTTGGATAGATGCGAGTTTGTGACCCTGGGTTTCACGCTTTAGCGATTGTCAGACAATCACTAAAGCGTGAAACCTAGGGTCTAAAACTCATATATATATATATATATATATATATATAATAAATGAACTTAGTCATTTTCATTTTTTTTCTTTTTAAGTTTAAAAGCAAAATTTGGTTAAAAAAAAAAAAAAAACACTTTTCACTTTAATAAAAAGCAAATGCATGCAATAAAAAAAAAAAAAAAAAAAAAAAAAAAAAACAAATACATTGATTTTCCCCACAATAGCAATTTCTTGAACATTTAATAACTAAGAAAATTGGCTCACAATTCTAGCCATTTTGAAAAAATAAAATGAGATTGTACAAATTTTAAAGAATTCTCAGTTGCTCTCAAATGAGAATTTAAAGAACATGAAAAGTCATTAAGTAATGCAACTCTTTATTTATATTAATTATATAAAATGTGCTAAATATTTATATTTAGTAAGAATTAATGAAGTCTAATGTGTTTGTGTGTGCGTGTATGAGATTTATTTTTAAAACTTAATAGATTCAAAATATTCAGCTGTGATAAACTTGTCAACCCAGGATTTGTAATAAACATGAATGGCTAAAAATGTTTTAAAAACAAAGCATTCATTTTAAACACAAAACTAAGGCAGCCTGGGAGCTCGATTAAAATAGATCGAATCAAAAGAGACAGGATACTTTCTCACCATCATAGTGACCAAAGAAATAGCCAAAGAACAGCTGAACATACCATGCATTTTTAATACCTTTTTCTGCAGTGAGCTGAAGTCTATTTTAAACACTTAAGTAAAATCTTATGCAAAAGAATAATTATCTACAAAAAAAAAAAAATAAAAATAAAAAAATATTAGCAATAGAGTTATCAAATCAAATTTAACAAACTTTACACTGTTTAGCAGTATTTGGGTTCAAAGGAATAACCAAGTATCAGATATAAACAAAATTAGCCCAGAAAAAGTTCATGTGCGTTATATATCAATTTGTGTCTGGTAGGGATAATTCCAAGGAAGATATTAATCCAAAGAGCTCAATGTAAATTTAAATTACAGTGTATTATTATAATAATAAAAAGGAGAACAAAAAACCAAAAACCTTAAAAAGATTCATTTTGTTTATAATTTATTTTGTGAATATTCTTATATTAATCTCTTCCAACCAAAAGTTCTTAATAAATGGAGACAATTCATTCAGGCTGATATGCTAGATCAGCAGGAGAGGAAGAAAGAAAACTAACAGATTTTTGAATATAATTTCTATTTAAAAACGTATGTACGTACATACACACATACATATGTGAGGAAAGGGAAGGTGAAAGAGATAAATGAAA